ACTGAATGAGGAGTGGGAAATTCTAGTTATGTTTTACATCTTGCAGATAGTGCTTTGGCCATTGCAAAAGACAGAAGCCAGACATACAACGGCTCGTGCAGTATGTTTTTTCTGTTTTGAAGCTGTAGGGTTCATGTGTTTACTCTGGAGCTCCTAAAGTTGAGAATGCTGTGTACTTACAGATCATAAATGTTTTAGCTTTTGCTTTGCAAATCACCTAGGCTTGGAGTAGAAAGGTATTGCAGTATAGTTCAAAACTCTAATGATAAAGATCCTTCCTGTGAGCAGGATTGCTGCTGGCCTTATACAGACCCTTTCACCTAGAAGCTGAAAAAAGGTGTCCCAAGATGCAACCCTACCAAGGCACATACCTTGACAAGCTGAGCACAGGTTAGATTTCAGCCTCCACTAACTCCCCTCCCTCAAGTGGGTGCCTTGTGCAGTGCACAGACTGTACAACTAAACACGGTGGCCCTACCTTTATATAAATGTATATATTAATATAAACCAGGGTAAAACATTACCAGAAGTCTTATTTCAAAACAGTTATCATTTTTAATACTTTCACCTAGAGAAGTAATGAAATATAGCCTAGGTTATAGCAGATTAGATAAAAATACATATTTCTACTATCTTCTAGAAAAATGATTGTGGCACTGGCAAATCAAATAGAAGTGAATAAGCAGATCTGAGATCACCTGAAAATGGTTAGTTCCTCATAAAGATCCAGTACAACCTATGTTTATTAAGTAATTGCTAGTAGAACAGACATCTGCACCAAAATGAAACTAGGAACCTTAATATTAGCTTGAACGGTTTATCTTTTGGCCACATCAATGACTCAGAAATATTAAATGTGTGGAAATGCTGGACAGTAGACAATGCCTGATCAATACATTAAACAGAAATTGATAATACCTATTTATTAAAACAGACTCACTAATTAATTGGTATTAAATAATTTAGCTCTAAAAAGAAAAGCCAGGGGCGCCTGGGTGGCTCAGTTGGTTAAGTGACTGCCTTCATGATCCTGGAGTCCCGGGATCGAGTCCCGCATCGGGCTCCCTGCTCGGCGGGGAGTCTGCTTCTCCCTCTGACCCTCCCCCCTCTCATGTACTCGTTCTCTCTCATTCTCTCTCTCTCAAATAAATAAATAAAATCTTTAAAAAAAAAAAGCCAAAAGGAAACAAGGACTAATTGTGGAAAGGACTTTGAACTTTTCCTTTTAGAAAGTTAAAAAAAAAAAGTACCCATGACTGTGATGGCTTATTAGTTCCCTGACAACTGCCACATGACACATTTTATATGGCATGAGGAAAGACGGTCAAAAGATCTCAACTTTTTGGAAGTCAACTTAAAAACTGAATGCAACTAGCATTTTTGGACTTTACAGTATGGAATGTAATTCCCTTCATAATGAAAACAAAATCATGTAATTTTATTCAAAGGTTTAGGCACTTTGCTGCAGGCCATTAATGATCTAGTAAAACTAGTATGAAGAAATAATTTTATAGTGTAAATATTTAAACACAAGTCCTATCACATTCAACAAAGAAGTGTATAATGTATAAAATATTTGTATATGTAATGTATAAAATAAAAGTGTTAAATGAATAAAATATTTTCTTTCTGATGAATACACACTGGAATCATCCTGCAGAGAAGCGCAGTGGCAAGCACTATACTGGACTTGCATTACGGAGTTCATTTGTTGAAGACCTAGAGAAGAGGCGGCAAACTCTCAGAACCAGATAGTGAATATTTGAGGCATCACAGGCCACATACATCTCTGTTGCATTTTCTTCTTTCTTTTTGTAAGTTTAAACAACACTTTTAAAATGTAAAAATTGTTCTTAGCTTGCAGGCCATACAACTGCAGACTGAATTGATCTGTGGGCTGTAGTTTGCCAACCCCTGGTCTAGAGCCATATATCATAAAACATTTTTATCATTTTAAGGTGCAGATGATCTCAAAACGAGTATCTGTAGTGAACTGTATTTATGTGCTTATATTTATGTGATTTCCCTAAGAAATGTGCTCTGCTGCAATCTTAGTTACTACTTCTCCAAACTCAATGTAAAAGTGATGTTCTGCAGACACTGCCAGAAGTTTCAAATAAAGCTTCTTTTATGACAATTTTGTGAATAAATTACCAGTGACTAAATCTAGTTCAAGTATCAGCGTTGTATTCTTTAAAGCAATGAAGCAGGTCTTGTTAAGAAGGGTTGAAAAGGAGCTGTGAGCAAAGTGTGACCTGTGGTTGGTGCTATAATATCGACAGCTGCTGAGCTAAACAGAGTGGGGCAATTTTAGGTTACCTGTGATAAATTTTTTGTTTTTAGGGTTGGCTAGGAGGAAATATTCTTGTGATCATTTTCTACACTAGCTGCCAATCAAAACAGGTAGTAATTTGCTGGATTTAATAATAAAGGAAGGTCTTGTGAAACAATACTGGCTATTAAAAGTGAATTAAAATGGGGGTTGGTACTGCTTATTGCAAATGGCCAAGTGTATGTCTGTTACAGTGGAAATTCTGTAGCTAACAATACTGCTTACATTCTTGAGTGCTCGGTCTTCTCCTTAGCTGCTCTGACTGCCTATCAGGGAAAGAATTGTTGCTTGGTGAAACCTGCTATCCCTTACATGTTTTCCACTTTTCCCTCAATGATGTCAAACCAACGTCAAATCCAACATCAAAGTTTATGGTCCCAAGCCAGGGTTTTATCTTCAGTTTGAATTTCAAATGAAGCAGTTCTTTGTATCTGTGTCTAGGTCATTTCCAAATAAAATAAAATACTGAAACATTAATTACTAAACATAAGTTTATCTACTTTGACTTATTGTTGATTAAAGATATTTGACTTAAAGATTATTTTGACTAAAGATATTTGGGCCTGTTAATAAACATGTTCTTTCACCACATTAAGAAATTGTATTATGAAGAAACATGTAGATCTGGATTTGAAGTGGTACATTCATAAATGTGCTAATCTATAGAATGCTGATATGTGACAGTTCACAACTGATGACTTCCTCATTTTCACTGGAAATTAAGGTTACTAAGGGTTACCTTCTGGTAAATACATGTAAGTGAAAAATACTAGAAAAAATAAAGAAGGGAAGCAATCTCAAAAGGCCTGTAAGAAATGAAAGATGTGTTTTTGTTAAGGAAAAAAGAAGAGCAATTTTGTCCTCAAGTAGTTGCACAGAGGTTGTTTAAAGGTTGTTCCAGAATGAGGAAGAGGAAAGGACAAAATCCCACATGGGCATAAAGTTGTAAAGGGTCTGCAGAAGAGGGCAGGGGGTGGAGGGGAGAGAAAGAAGAGGGGGGAATATCTTATTCATGTGGGCAAACTGGCTATGATTGAATGCATTTATTTATAATATATATATATATATATATTTTTTTTAAGAAATGAGCTCAATAGTATATGGATGCAAAACTAGAGGTTGAAATTCCCTATTAAAAGGACACAGTTTCTTGGATTATTGGAAATTTGTCAAAGTCATAGCTGTCCATGTCCTGGTAAATGTGACCAGTCATAACTCCAGTTATCTTAAAATGTTGAATGTCACAGAGACAACTAAATCTCCTCGTCAACTGCATTATAAAGAACTCTCATCAAATCTTTAATCATGGCCATTTAAAGCCTTTTGTCACTCACAGATATTGTTTTACTCTGATGTTTTCCTGAAAACTCTTGTAATCAGCTGCAGGTTTAATCTTCAACAAAAGATTGTCTCAGGGACCCACAGTAAGATTACAGCATTACTCTGGGGTACAGGTTTCTGATGTCATTGTTTAGGTAATTTTAAGATCATACCCTGGACTAATGATTTCTAGAACAAATAGAAAAGCTCATAGGTTCATAAAACTGCAAATCAAGAAACACCTGAATTTATCATATGGCACTGAGTAGACTGATAAAGAATGATTATGATTTCTTCTATGACCTTTGCTCAGAATATTGCTGGTTCTTTAATGTTTCATTTTCTGGGTTTAAGAAACCCCCTTTCTCTTAAGCTATCTATAACATAGCAATTTAGTAGATTATGTCTTTGTAAACAAAAACAAAACATTTATCTTTTCTCCCTGCCTGATCCATCCAAAATTTGGAAACCCTTACTGAATGGTTTTTTTTTCTTTAAAGATTTTATTTATTTGACAGAGAGAGACACAGCGAGAGAGGGAACACAAGCAGGGGGAGTGGGAGAGGGAGAAGCAGGCTCCCCGCAGAGCAGGGAGCCCGATGCGGGACTCGATCCCAGGACCCTGGGATCATGACCTGAACTGAAGGCAGATGCTTAACGACTGAGCCACCCAGGCGCCCCTGAATGTTATTTTCATGGCAATATAGTTATTTGATTAAGTTCAGTAAGAATTTGTTTTTCTTATAACAGGACACAATTGGAAACACTGGTTATATTAGGCTTTGACTGGAGTGTCATGTGTGAGAATGGTGTGCATAGCATCAGAGATGACCAGGTTTAAGAAACTAAGGTGGACTTTAAGGAGTCAGTGCTTTTAAAACCTTCCTGGAAAATCCACCTGGCACCTGGTGTACAGGATTCCCAGCCTTATAGGTGAGTAAGGAAGGCTCCCTCCTGGCAGGCCCAGAAAACTTAAGATATTTTGGGGACCTTGAGAAGGAATTCATCCAAATCTGTGGGTACTGCAAATGAAGTCTGATGGCAAATTCTCCTAGCCTTGAGCCTTTTAAAAGTCCAATCTGATGGGGTGCCTGGATGACTCAGTCGTTAAGCGTCTGCCTTCGGCTCAGGTCATGATCCCAGAGTCCTGGGATCGAGCCCCACATCGGGCTCCTTGCTCAGCAGGAAGCCTGCTTCTCCCTCTCCCCCCACTTGTGTTCCCTCTCTCGCTGTGTCTCTCTCTGTCAAATAAATAAATAAAATCTTAAAAAAAAAAAAAAGTCCAATCTGAGATTCCTAATAAAAGTTCCAGTAAAACAAACTTAAAAAGGCCTCTGTTGTCAATTACCTTTCTTGCTATGGCTCAGTCGTTAAGCATCTGCCTTCGGTTCAGGTCATGATCCCAGGGTCCTGGGATGGAGCCCCGCATCCGGCTCCCTGCTTGGCAGGAAGCCTGCTTCTCCCTCTCCCAGTCCCCCTGCTTGTGTTCCCTCTCTCGCTGTGTCTCTCTCTGTCAAATAAATAAATAAATAAATCTTAAAAACAAAACAAAACAAAAAAACCCAGTCAGGCCAAGTTTGACGAGACTGGACTTGCTTTGCAAACAAAAATAGTCTTACCTCAATTATCTTTGATAAAAGTGGGGGTGATGACAGATAAATTTTATGTTTCAATAGAAAACTATAACCCACCATTGTGGATTATCAGATTCTATTCCTGTTCATTGTCTTTGAGCTTTTTTCACCTCTTTGAAAGCTGAATCCTGCCATCTTGTGCATTTTGTCAGTAATTAACTTTTCCAACTTTCTTCCACCCTCCTGACTTGGCACCATTAAGAACTAAAACTGCCTGTTTCCTAAAGCCCTGCAAGCTGAAGAGAACCTTAAAGGCTTTATCCCAACAGTTTGGGCCACTCAGGAAGTTCACCAGAACATGGTCCTCTGAGCTCCAGGAAATGCCCATGACTGTGAGATTACCACTACCATCGTGATGACTCTGCCATCTAAAGACACTTCAAGACCAACATGTAGAAATCATCTGGACTGACTGCTTTCTGAACTCAAGAAACTGAGTTTATAATCCATTTCAACTATTAGTTTTTGTTTTTCCTTTTCTTTCTCCATAAATTTATGCCTCTTTCCCTTTGCGTATCTCTTACCTCCCACCTTCTAACCTGAATCTTTTCTCCACAACCACTAGCTCAGCTTCTGCTCCTTGAAACACCCTGGGAAGTTTTAGATGGGGGAAATAAAGGAGTCCAGAATACACCACTGTGGCATAACAATTATTTTGAGCTAAGGGCACTGAGAATCTACAGATGCAGGAAGAAGCTTTTCTGAATTCCCTTTATCTGCCTAAAAGTAGAATCTCCCCCAATGAACTCAACTGTTACAAATCCTCTCCCTGGGACTTTTGGTACCACAACTAAGCAGACATTGTCACAAAACTATTGTATCTCCCTTCTTTCTCCTAAGGGCCCATTTATCCTTTCTGAAAGCCATTTGTTTTCCCCTAAGTGCCCTTTCTCCCTTCCCCTTATTAAGATGGCATATGGGGCGCCTGGGTGGCTCAGTCGTTAAGCGTCTGCCTTCAGTTCAGGTCATGATCCCAGGGTCCTGGGATCGAGTCCCACATCGGGCTCTCTGCTCGGCAGGAAGCCTGCTTCTCCCTCTCCCACTCCCCCTGCTTGTGTTCCTGCTCTCGCTATCTCTCTCTCTGTCAAATAAATAAATAAAATCTAAAAAAAAAAAAAAAAAAAAAGATGGCATATGAGCCCCAAATCCTGCTTTTCTCTGAGTTCTTGTGTACAGATGTGAAAAAAAATCTACATTTTCTCTTGCTAATAAGTTTAATTCACAGGCCCCCAACTACTGGATCTAAGAGGGTAGAAGAGAGGTTTTTCCTCCCCAACAGGAGAAAAATGTTAAGTCAAATAGCATGCTCACATGAACCTCAGCAAAACTGGCAACATCTCATCTAGCAACTACAGTTAGACATTTAAGTTTCCTTATTCTTAAAGGAAGTCCAACAGTTTAAAAAACAGCATTGAAGTTTCCCATTCAGGTGGGCTGTGACTTTTTTTTTTCACTTTACAGCCCCCTCTACAAAGGGGTTTAACTTTTAGCCAAATTTTACTCATTATTTCCAAATGTTTACAGCATAGTGAATAAGCTGTAATTTTAGATACTGAAAAACAAGACAAAGTCACTAAACTAATTATATTATGGCACTGATAAGATGCAAAATGTAAGACACAGGTAGATCTACAAATTGCCACTTACTTACAAATTCCAATTATAACTGATTCTCTTTCAAATATCGGTTTTATATAAATACTTATCCAGTAGCACATCATAAACCACAGGGTTAAAAGAATTTCTTCCGTCATGTAAATGTGGAATCGAGAGCTAAAACTGTTCAACTTAGCAACAAATTACTTTTTTCAAGAGCAAAGTAATATGGAACCCATAGGACTCATAAGAAAACCTTAAGCTAGGGGCGCCTGGGTGGCTCAGTCATTAAGCATCTGCTTTCAGCTCAGGTCATGATCCCAGGGTCCTAGGATTGAGCCCTGCATTGGGCTCCCTGCTCGTCGGGAAGCCTGCTTCTCCCTCTCCCACTCCCCCTGCTTGTGTTCCCTTTCTCGCTGTGTTTCTCTCTGTCAAATAAATAAATAAAATCTTAAAAAAAAAAAAAAAAAAGAAAAGAAAACCTTAAGCTAAATCATTATACTTTAAGGGGCATTGGCTAAATTCTGAAGGAACTGGCATTAAAACAGAACTTAGTTTTGGGGTGCACGGCTGGCTCAGTCAGTAGAACACATGACTCTTGATCTCTGGGTTGTAAGTTTGAGCCCCACATTGGATATAGAGATTACTTAAAAATAAAATCTTAAAAAAAAAATAGAACTTAGTTTTTTCAGGCTTTTAAAGATTTTCATGCGTTGTGTACCTAAAGTTTTTGGTCTCTTGATATTGACTCCTACCTCCTTCTCCTTAGTATAAGAAAAACCTTCTTAATGTAAGGAAAGCCTAGTTTAACAGTCCTGGAAATTGTGCATTTAGGGTAAACCATAATATTTTATCTAATTCTGCTATACCAAATACCACTATTTGGGGTTCTCATTTGTAAATTATTCAAAGCCTAATGTTTCTCATCAATTTATCACCAATCATCAATTTATACAATATCACAAGGATAAAGGAGATCAATTCAGGTGTTGGCAACGTTTCATGAAAGCACCAAGGTGGGGAGGGGTGGGTAGAGTGACCAACCAGATTAGTACAACCACCTTTCATATAGTTTTTCGTTAAAAAAAGAGTCAAATTGCTTTCAATTTTCTGTGAAGATGGCAGGATATTAAGATGTGCAAGCAAACTGCTTCTTTCATATCCTCTTAAGGTATTAGTATTTTCTGAAAGATAATTTGCTATAGGACCCACAGAGGAGCACCTTTCACATTAGATGATATGTAAACAAACCTTCTGCCAAGAAAATAAAGGGAAGGGGGGCAGGTAGTAATTCAAGCTATAATGTCCACCCAGAATCCTAGAAGGGAAAAATAAAGCCATTGAAATAAAGTCAATTCAGTGATATCCGGAAGGTCAGCAGTATTTCCATAATACTCACTATGGCACAGAAACAAAGTCTTGAGTGAGCAAATACTTAGGCTGCTAGAAAGACAGCCACTGTGAAGCACAGACTAACCTGGAGAGTTAAGAGTCTGGATTCAGTCTCTGCTTTCTGTTCAACACTTCTAAAATGCTTTCTGCTTTCCTGTTGCTGTTTTCACAGCAGAAACAAGGGTCTCTGAAGAACTGGCCACAGCATTACAAACCATCCAGTGGTGCCCATGTTTCTCCACTGAGGTGTTGGACAACTTTCTTCAAGTGACTACAACTGCTCATTCAGCAAGCTGCTGAAAAGGACCCCAGCGCCAGTAGTGGGGGGGGGGGGGGAGGGTCTCCACATCTTATCTGACTGTGATACACAGAAACTCAGTTGCATCACACCTAGCTGCACTGTCAAGAAGCTGTGCCTTCGTTGCCATATATAAATTCTTTACACAGAAGTGTAACTTGAATGAAAAGTACAAAAAGACAATGGTGTGAAACAAATGAACTCATTAAAAAAATGTAAGATGGCTGATAACCTAGGTATCTACACTGAAATGTAGCCAGAAGTCAGAATCTTGTGGCAAAAGAACAGTCTTATGGGCTGTGTGTTGGAACGGCTTAGATTTAGATTTTCTTAAGGCACAGCCAAAGTTCTTTAGATTTGTTTTGGCAAGTGTTTTTCTTGCTGGAAGATCATAAAAGTAGGCAGAATTATCTGCCTAATGGCATGCTGGCATGCTAAGGTAAGGAAAATAGTACTTCGACTAAAACTAAGGCTAGTAGGTGAAGAAAAATGACAAAATTTATATTGGTTTTAAATTTGTACCAAGGAGACTTACTGGATACTGGAGAAATGACCGGAGTGTTTCATACCTTTGCATAAGAAAAAAAAAAGATTTTCCTTTTGAAGTTGTAGCTTCAGGATTTAATCTGTGTCAATGTCTCCATGTGGTAAAAACAATCTGGATTTTATAATGCATGAGCAGGAAAAAGTTGCAAAAATGCTAAATGGTATGGAGCTACAAATATGGTGATACATCAGCAAAGGGGTGAAATCGGGTTTTTACTCCAGACAGGTGTTATGTTTGTGAAAAGTGATTCAATTTGTTATACATTCAAACCCAAATTAGAACTAGCTGCCTTACAATGGTATTTCACTGCCATTTCTTAGCACTTTAATTTTGGTGAGTTCTGTTACAAGTTCAAGGAAGTTAGAGCTGTTCTCAACTCTTATATCTAGTTCCTTCAAAAAATGAAGGGGCAGATATTCTAATAAGCTTTAGATAAATAGGATCCTGATCATTTTAGCTCTAGTTAACCTGAAACATTTCCCTGGGCATAATCATAGCCTCTCTGAAAACTGGAAAAAAATGGCATAATTTAAAAAGTAACAACATTCACTGGTAACTTCAAATAAGTTAGGTGAAGAGGATGGAATATGGGGGGTAGGCCAGACCACCAATCATGTTTGCCTAGCCATAAAACCAGTGACAACTTAAAGATCTGCAAAGATCAAAGAAAACTGAGAAACCACCCTTAACTGGGATCCTCGTGGTCTTCATAAATATTACAAGGTGACCCACCCACTCTGATTGGCTGTGCTGCACAGAAACCCCAGAGCCCACTGCAAATCTGGGATACGGCAAATATGGAACCTAGTAGCAGGTTGGAGCTTGCTTATGACATACTGACTAGAACAAAGGCAGACAATGAAGAACTACCAGAATCCCACAGACAGCTCTTTTTCACCTTGGAAAACCATTCATGAGGTTACTATGACAAGAATATAAATCAAGGCTGACACCGCTAAGTGCTGGTTCCACAGCTGGCCATCTGGATATGGGGTTTTGCCAATACTCAGCTGTTTTGATTATTTAATCAAATATTAAGCAAAGTATAATTCACATGCAACCCTTATCAAAAAAGAGAAAAAGGTTAATTTCCTATGATCCGCACAAACTGTTAACCTGTTAAGAAAAGCCTCATGTTTCCAGCATTCAAGTGTATACACACACATCATGTCTGTTTCTTTTTAAACATCTTAGGGTGAGGGTGAGGAGGAGAACAATGAGATAAAGACACAAGCTAAACATCCAACAAGCCCCATTCCTTATTCTCTGTGTGACCGGCAGCATTACTCAGAAAGTCACTCCTTTACTCCGATGGTCATAATATATTTGAATGTGTAGATCTTTAAGGATTTGCTTATTCATTTGGCCAGGTCTATGGTAGGTGCTTTTTTGTTTTCTTGGTGGAATAATTCATCAGTGCTTCCTGAGAGGCTCAAACAGGATCACTGGCCAGATTCCGAAGAGAAACTGTTTGGAAACAAGTTAGGACAAAATGAAAGAAGGTAACTGCTGCATGTTATCCGTGAAAAAGAACCAATGAGCTAGGTGTGCTAACAACTAACCTGGTATTAGTAGCCTGAGTATGGCATAGTCTTTCCAGACTTGCACCAGATCTCAGAAATTATTTTTATTTAATTTACCTTAAATGGATTAAGCTTCTATTTTGTCAGGCATGGAGCTGGGCATTTTAATCATCTCAGATTCTGGGGTACCCGGGTGGCTCAGTCGTTAAGCGCCTGCCTTCAGCTCAGGTTATGATCCCAGGGTCCTGGGATCGAGCCCTGTATCAGGCTCCCTGCTCAGCAGGAAGCCTGCTTCTCCCTCTCCCACTCCCCCTGCTTGTGTTCCTTCTCTCACTCTGTCTCTCTCTGTCAAATAAATAAATAAAATCTTAAAAAAAAAAAATCATCTCAGATTCTTAATGTAGCTATTGACAGCTCCATTTTATTGTTGAAAAAACTAAGGCTTAAGGAGAACAGACTTGCCCAAGGTCATAGAGTAGTACGTGGAAGACCTGGTTCAAGATTCAAGAGCATCTGGTTCCAAAGCTTGTACTCTATCTACTACCTTCCCACCCCATCCCCTTCTTCCACCTGTAGCCCATCCTCTCAATACCAAACCTCTCCTAACACATCCACACATGCATGCACACATCCATACACACCCACCCCTAGGAAGGGAACTTACCTTTACTTTTGGCCTGTATCTCAGGTAAAGAGTTCTTGTATATAAACTGAAAGAAAAGGGGAGGGGGGGGGAAAGCTCTTCAGATTAATTTTTAATTCATACAAACTTTCTTACTGACAAATTTAACCATAGTGCCTCTGTATACACACACAAAAAAGCAATCCTAGTAGATTCTTTGTTCATTTAGCAACCTTTTTTTTTTTTTAATTTATTTATTTCAGAGAGAGAGAAACAGCATGAGAGGGGAGAGGGTCAGAGGAAGAAGCAGGCTCCCCGCTGAGCTGGGAGACTGATGTGGGACTCAATCCCAGGACTCTGGGATCATGATCTGAGCCAAAGGCAGTCACTTAACCCACTGAGCCACCCAGGTGCCCAGCAACCAGTTTTTGAGCAGCTACTCTATGCAGAACACTTGGTAAGATGGTAAGGAAGACAGAAATGAATACTCGGACTGTGACCTCAGGATGTTTGTAGTTTAGTAGGGAGCACTCCACTCATACTTGATGATTCATATCATAATTGCCAGTTTCATGTTTGAAGATAATGGTAGCAAGGATTAAAGTAGAGTATTCTTAGAATGTTTTGGAAGTAGTTATATCAGCTCTACAAGGATTACAATACAGGTATGAGATAATCAGGAAGGTAAT